TCCGCCTACTTGCGCTGTGATGTGCCCACCGTTGACAACCAAGAACTGGTCAAGTTATAAACCCTTGATTGCTATTGGTTAGTTAATCTATTTTCCTGGAAGAAATTGAATTGAAATGAAAAGTTTGGCATTTCATAGTTTTTCAGAATTTCTTTTCTGTCAGGTTTTTGAGCTTTAATTGTTCTAAATAATAATAATCCATTCTAAAATTATTGTTATTATCACTATGGTTAATTAAATAAATTAAATGAATTTATTGATTAATTAAATTTTTGTAATGGTGTTTTTTGTTATTCAGGAACCAACCAGGGCAGTATCCAGGTATTCAACCTCTCCACAGGGATCCTGACACGGGAATACAGTATCCATACTGGAAGTGTTAGGTACATTTACTTATTAGAATGATACCAAAACATCATATAATAACTGTGAAAACATGAAAATAAATACTGTCTCCTACACTGTATATGTTGCTTGCATTGCTACATGACTAGCCTTGGCAAAGCATAATTCATACCATGCAAAATAGCATCAACAAAAAAAGAGTTTGTCTGTTTGATTGATGGCCAGGCATTAAGTACAGTACATGTATTTGTAAATTCATTGCCTATCACATGAAGACTTTCATATTATTAACTGGCTGCTTACAAATAAAAAAAAAACCTCTAGTCTTAAATACTATAATGTTCTTGATTTCCAGGGGAGTGTCGTGGTCTAGTTTAAGCAGTTTCTTCTCTTGGTCTCTAACCCCTGGAAGTTCTTCTAAGAATGAGCTTCAGCTTCTGGATCTGAAAACAGGTACAGTATATGCCGTATGATAATGGCTTTGTAGCAATGCAAAGGTAAAGTACATGTCACACTCTTTTCTCCTGTAGGTCACTCAACCCATATCTCTCTTGGAAAACATGCTGAGGAAGTACCCATTGAATGTGTGAAAGTATCTCAACTCAGGTACATTATTATTGTAGCGAATTATTCTTAATTTGCTCTGAATAAAGATTAAAATGCCATATAGAGAACATTCAATTATTAATTTTGGTTTCATATACAATGTATTCACATGCAAAAAATCTGACAGTTTTAGGTTCTAAAGATTTTGTAATTTAATCTTTTTGTAGGCAATACTTTTTCATTGCATTCAAAGACAGACCTTTGCAGTTATGGGATTTGAAGAATCTTTGTGTACTAAAAGAACTTCCAAGAAACTTCCCGAATATCACAGCATTGGTAAACCCTTAAGTTTCTTAATTTTTTCTTCCATTCTTGAATTCATTCATTTGTTCATCCACCCATCCATCATTTTTGGTGAGAATGGACGAATGGATGGAGTCATACTATCACTTAACAAAAACACACTGAAGTTTTAATTAATAAAATTCTTTTTTACGTTGTAAAATACAATCATCCTCTCTTAAGCCTGGTTTATAATTTTTACCAGGACATAAGCATAGACATAAGCCAAGAGCAAAAGAAAAGACAAAGTCAAGTGTGTGGCATAAGACATAAGCATAGAAATAAAGCATAAGACGCAGAATAAGATAAATAATTATAAAGACAAAAGAACAAACAAAGAAAAGCACCTTCTGTTAATCTCTTTTGAATCCCTCTATAATCTTAGAAGCCATCTTGTTTTTCACCGCTTATACTTATAGTATAAGCCATGATTTATGTTTGTTAAAATATTGTGTAGGAGTGGTCACCATCTCATCACTCCAAGCATCTCAAGAAGAAGCTAAGCAGTCAATTAGAAGCGTCAGGTGCTTCAGATATTGCTTCTCATGTACTTGATCCAAAACGATTGGACCCAACTCAAACTCAGGTAATGATGTTACTGCAAGAACTATGTCCACCTGAAGGTGATGATTATACTGGGCATTAATAATGAATTTCACTCTTTCTCTGTTTGAATTGATAGAGGTGAATATTTTTTTGTGTCTTGCTAGATATGGATCAAGGAGCATTTTGTATGTGTTGATGTCAATGGCTTATTGTATCACTTCTTAGTTGAAGGAAACAATGTCAAAGATGGCTCCAAAGTTCAATGTGATGTAAGTCAAATGTTGGGGCTTTCTTACTTCTAAGTAACTCGTCATTAATTCTATCTCCAGATCTTACCTCTTTGTTATATGTGATATTGTATTTGTGTAGAGTACGCTTGGTGTTGTCCAGTGTATGGCTTGGAAAGGTGATATTATGGTGCTTGCTGATAATGAAGGAAATCTCAGTATTTGGGAACTAAAGGCAAGAGTTACCAGGTAATTGAGCTATTCTCCTTGTTAGGGTTGCGTGCTGACATCGCATGACTCCTGCATGTGACTAGCTATGCGTTAGCGCCCCTTCCTGCAAGCAGGACCTTGTTGTGGTGGCCACTTGCTCGCTGTGCATCTTTAGGTTTGAATTTGCTGAAATATTCACATACATGTACATGTACATTTAATTTTATGTTATCATGACATTGTGTGGCTTTATTCATTCAAAAGATAGCCCCTTATTTTTTTTCGGTCCGGTATCCTAGTCATTCGCGCGCTGTGATTGGCTAGCGCGCGGTCCGGTTTTTCACGATCTGCCCGGTCCGACGGTATSCTGCAGCTAGGCTGCGAGAAAAGTTGCATAAAATACAAATAAAAAATAAATAAAAATGTTATTTACCGGCGATAGGTCGGTCCGTATAGGAAAACACTGCCCTCGGTCGGCTTTTATGAACGGACCTCGCTGCGCTCGTACCGTACAGTCAAGACCTCAGGCAGTGTTTTCATATACGGACCTCCCAGCCAGTAAATAACATATATACATGTATGTACGTATTGTCCCACATACTGCACTGATAGTGCACATGTATGGCTTGATTCATAAAAAAAGATGGCCAATTATTGGAAAGTAGTGGGTCCTAATGACTATATTATTTTCAGGCTTGTAGCAACCCATAGAGGATGCATCAAAAAGATCAAGTTTGCTCCAGGAAGAGGTAACTTAAAACTAGGCGTCTTATTCACTGATGGGATGGATGTCTGGGATTTGCAATCGGCTGAAATGTACAGTAGTTACAAGATACCTAAAGATAGTTCACCCACTGTTGACCTGGACTGGCTGGCATCAGACCTACCTTTGATTGTCCAGGCAAGTGGTTGTCTGCAGGTTATGGACATGGAGTTACAGTCGTCAACAGTTGCTATGGCATCATTAAGTCTACATGGTAGGTATTCACGACTTTCAATACTCAGGTCCAGTGACCACGAACAAAGCATTAAATCTAGGCGTCAAGGTTAAGTTAGCATAAAAGAAAAGATATGTGCGCAGTTTACCTTGACGCCTCGGTTCAATGCTTTGTTCGTGGTCAGTGAACCTGAGTATGGAAAGTCGTGAATAGATGAGAGCAAGCTGACGGTGGTAGGTGGTCAAACGCAAATGAACCGAGATGATCCGCTATACATAAAGCTCGGTTGCTTGCTAAAAACTATTGCCTTCTTACAAATGACTTAACGTAATGCACAACATCTGGTCTTGATCACTTTGTGTGGAATTTTCAAACTGGGTAAACTCCTTATACCGCCTTATACTTGACAAGATTTCTTGAATGACCTCGCCTTCAACTCTTTGTCCATGAGTCAAAGCAAAGCTCTAGATAGTATTCAAATTCAGTTGTCATTGCTCTCTTGTTTTGGCATGTGGACTTTTGCACTTTGTTTTTATTTCCGTAGCTACACTATCGTATTTATTAATGTAATTTAGCTATAATTGTATAAAGAAGTATAAGAAGTATAACATAGCACTTCGACTTGAGAGCCCGTACATGTAGAGGTGCGTTTTTCGCAAATCAGCACCCGTGCTGCCATGAAGGACGATGCAGTACCCAACAACTTCTCTTTCCTCTAGTATTCGCTTTAACAGTTATGTGTAATGTGTGTATATAGATTCAATCTGGTGCCCTCATATACTGGAATCCAAGACAGCTCTTATTCTTAAGACCATTTTACAACACCATTTAGGAAGAGAACCTTGTTCTCTGACAGATATATCAGATCTGTAAGTATATAAAGAAACTACCTGAGTGGTTAGAGAGAGACAGTAGTGGTAGTATGTCAGACCAGATTCCAGTCAGATGTACAGATGTGGCGGACAGACTGTGTGGATTTATGCAAGCCCTTTATAACTGATTGTCATTGCCTTTCTCTTTTGTTTAGTGAACTTCAGCCTGAGCTGGAGAAAATCCTGCTTGACCAGTTATGCCTTGTTCCTAAGTAAGTGCAATCAAGTTGAATACAGCATCCAAACCTTACATATTGAATGACAGTTTCATCTCGTGGGGCGCGTTACAAGTAGCCATTTTGTTATCATATATTCCTTTATCAGTGTTCATGTACTTTGCAGTAAACCTTCTAGTAACTGAGTTTCATTTATTCGTCTCATATTGTTTGATTAGGAATAACCTAGATAAGACTAGCAGCTGTAGCTTTTGATGTATTTTCAGGGTGACGTCTCCGTCGAAAACATTTCATTGAACAAAATACACCAAACGTTTCTCCCTCTTTATACGATGTGTAGATGTAAAGGTGTTAGCACATTGTAGACACTTGAATATAAATTTTACCATTTCAGGGTTATTTCAGACTATGTTCCTAAAACTCCAATGGGTACTGCTGAAAAATGCCTTCTTACTGCGCAGTAAGTATAGTATTAGCAAATATTATCCAAAATGGCGGTTATAACGTAACGTTGGAATCAAGAACTCTAAGACATCCAGCTTAGTTTGTATGCTTAAAAATTAATACAATTGAATCTGTTTGTGTTTTCAGTTTGTTTGATGATGAAGCTGAATCAGTTTTCTGGGATGTTGCGTTACATTATCTGCGTAGAGAAAAAGCAAGGCTGTCTTGCCCTCTCCATAAGGTACTCATCAAACAGAAATAAATACATCACATTTTTCTGTTTTCTCGTGATATCTGTAAGTAGCCCGTGTGACGTCTCTGGTGAAGATGTGAAAGAAGTTTAAGATAATACATGTATTCATAGACTACCGTTGTATAAAAGAAAATTCTATTTTAAAAATGTGTTCCTGCAAGCTATATTAAATACAATTTATTATAATTTATATTTATTTTGTATTTATTATGATTTATTCCATTCATCATTTCAGACCAATCACAAGCCACCACAAGCAACAAGTCGTCCCAGGTCCTCCTCGGACCTTTTCAATCCCTCAGACGCAACCGCCAAAATCAAGAGATCATTCAGTTCCAATTCCCTGGATCTTCTCACGATCGACGATGACCTACAGATTACTGCCGTAGAAGCGCCTGGTACTAGTGATTACTGCTGTTGTCTTCCTGTTTCTTTGGATATGTGCTTTGAGATTCTGTGTGACTCTGACGCATTCCAGGTACAGCATTTTTTAAAACCTTGTCAAATGAGACAAATATGTCATGAAATGTTGGATGCACAACGTTACTGGGTAATTCACCATTTGGGCCACCGTTGGCTTGTACAGTGTTCAAGAAGACGAGGTTTTAATTGCCGTTGGCTCGTGTGCGCGCACCAGTTACTGCCGTTTTCCCGAGCGATATTTTAAGAAAATTCAATTTCATTTCGCATTTCGCCTCTTTAATTATTGAACAAATTCCTGTTTGATAGAAAGCACAGTTAGACCGAATTGCACTCCACGACAGTAAGAGATCTACGTATGAACACACAAGAAAATGTGCTGAAGCTCTTGTACTACTAGGCCAGGTAAAATGTTTGATTCAATCAAGTTTGTTTAATTTAATCTTTAGGCATATCAGGCTAATATATCCAATAATTTTGTCTTGTAGGCCGACCGAGCTGTGCAACTGTTCCTAGAAACAGAATCGTCTAATGACAACTACTATGTAGACTCATTAAGGTATATTTTTCTGTGATGCTCATTTTGTAATATGTACATTATGTTGTGCGATGCTCATTTTGTAATACGTACATTATGTTGTGATTCTTTATTGCTTTCAGTGTTCCCGTTGTTGTTCTTGTC